TGTGGAAAATACAGCAGGCGATGGAAGACGATGCCATCCGGACCGCCAGAATTCATCCCGGTAACCAGGATGAAGTGTTCATATGCCTATTAAGGGATTTTTTAATCCCCAAGCTCTAAGCGTAACATCTTGAAGTAATAGCGTTTGATATTTTATAATTGACTTTTGTTTGACTATAAAATATGCGGTTAGATCGATCATACATAGAAATCTTTTCCAAAAGAAATAACTCGAACCTCCCGGACTTAAGGAGACAAAACCAGTCCGCGTGTCCTGCGTGTTGCGCATTTCTTTCGCGTTGCGCGCGACTACCTTGGCATGCGCAGAAAATGTGCGCAGTAGCAATAGTGGGCACCTTCCTTAAAACATAAACTTAAGCTTTAAGCTTGAAGACTCAGGATTTTTAGAGACTCTTTAATACTTGTCTTCGTGGATGAAAATTGTTGTCTCTGTAAATGTTTCACCGAATTACATTTCTTTTATTGATTTTTAGTAGTCTCTCTTGCGATTTTAATCGCTGTGCTGTTTGTTTTCAGTCGTTCATGATCGCTTGCAGGAGTACTCAAATGCCGCGCGTATCAAACGCTTTTTAAGACGTTATAAAACCATTGAATAAAAAAATAAACATGATGAATTCTTTATTATGTTGAAGCGTAATTCTATTAATGTTCACTGCAAAATTGCGCTCGTCAAAAGTGAGAACCGGCTGGCCGTATAGGTGATTTTGGGAATTTTTTGAACGGTTTCGCGCTAAAAGCCCAGGATTGATCGTCCCGAATATTGACTGAGTGCAATTTATCTTGAAAAATTGTGAAATACTGCATTCTGTCCTAGGTCTGTATGATAAATAGTACTGTTTCACCTCAGATGTGATGTATAAAAAGTATTAAAGGTTGGTTTACACACCCCCAGATTTGTTGGCAACATTTTGTAAAGTAAACTTGTCGAAAGCAAAATTTTCGGCCTGATTTGTTTTCCAGGCCTACTCTACGGTGATCAAGAGCCTTTATGGCTCTTGAATGTGATCGAAGATGATTGCTATTTTTTGGGTGTAAATATAAGGCTATCAACTCGATGTAAGATGTTTCACTCTTGAATCACTTAGCCTTTCCCTCAAAAGTCACGGGAATGCCCCCTTACCTAAATCGATCTTTTTATTGTGCAAACTTGTAGGAAAACTGTCATGTCTGCCAAGTCTATGAAAGCACAAACATAAAAGCACTAAGTCTATTTATTGGCATGTTTACTTTCAACGGAGAAAATCGCGCTGCTGAATAATGTTTACAAGTGAGGGAAGCATCTACGCTTAACTTTAATTTTACTTAATTCCGATCAAAAAGAGATTTTTCAAAATATACTACCAAATCATCCAATTTTTCTGTTTTTCGTTGTTTTTGCATTGAAAAAAATTATGAAAGCCTTCATTAACTTGATTGTTATACTCTTACACTATTATTCAATACAGAGCCTATCTGTTTAATATTTGGTGTGCGAAACGTTGATGATGCTTGAAAAAGCCACGTCGACTAACTTTCACCTGCCTTTCAAAATCTCACTGTCAAAATAATATACAAAATAATGACATCCCTTAGTTTATAGCTGATTTCGGAGTAATAAATATTTTTTCTTGTTTTTTGTTTATGTCCTTAGCTAGGATTATATACCAGATTTTGGCTGTCTTATTAAAGGTGGAAAACATGAAAATATGCCCCAAATGTTAGGGAGATCGGCCACCACTTCTATGCTTCTCTCAGTCGCGTCATGTCTGTCTGAGTTACGTGGTGCGTCTAGTTGAGGGGACGATTACTAGTGTTTGCGAATGTTTCGAAATCTTGTATACTTCCCATTATATGGATAAGCGATAACCTTAGCAAGAAATAGTAAAAATATGCTGGTTGTACAAACCAAATAATTGTTCCTTTTTTGTAGACAATAAAGCCAGTGTGAAATTTATCCTAGACTCGATTCTGCTCAATTAATTTAAGTTTTCTTTCAAGAAAGCTTTCTGATCTTCTTTTTGATTAACTTTATAATCATAAACTTTATTGGACTTAAATTTTGCTTTACTAAAACGTCCATTAATTATCTACAATTGCCCATAAGTCGGCTTTTATGAGCGACAAAGCCGCAAGAACCAGCGCGAAGAGCGAGAAAGTCGACTTTTCTCGCAATACGGACTTTTAGAGAGTCTATGATTTAACCAGTTATCGAACACTACTACCGGTAAAATACCGGTTTATAGAGACCTTAAGATACACCGTTTCCGTGTACGAGTACGGGTAAATTAGCCGTACACGTAGCCGTAAGCACGAGTAAATTGTCTCTTACCCGGGAGAAACGGTTAGGCTACAAGGTAGAATGGTTACGGCATTATCAAATCTGGGAAATAATGGTTGCCTTTTATAAAACTACGAGGTAAACCTATTCGCTTACCCGTACCCGTAAGCTGAAACGTTGTATGCTAAGGTCACTATTGTCCGCTCGCGCGTGGTGTAGGTAACATCTGGCCTTTCTTTCTCACCTCACGATTAATAAACCAATGATAGCAATTTCCTATAGTACTTCACTGGGGGCAGATTGAATCAAGACTTTCTTCCAAATTAATAATCGGTTAAACCTTTGAACGCTAGAGTAAACTGTGCTCAAAGATTGTTTTAATCAGAAAGAAACAAAAGTTGTCAGAGCCACAAAATATCAGAATTTCACTTTCTAAAATGCTGAGTAACAAATAGTTCCATTTGAAAGTATGCCAGAGGTTTTGAATGGTGACATGTCCACAGACACAAAAGTTCACGGAAAAACCTCATGACTTCGTTATTTACTCCCACCTAATTTCTGGGTGCGTATATCAAAGCTCAAACCGTGAGAATTTGTTGAGAAGTGTCATAAACCGCGGCACAAGAAAACGCTCATTGAGTATTCAATTGTTTGAGATTTTTTCCAAACATACAGACGTTAAAACAGGTTTTATGCACGTGATACTGTTGCCTCTAATATAGCGTACAAATTACATCTTAACTATATTCATTTCTCTCTACATGTATTGTCTCTAAAAACTGTTTGAAAACTATAAAACAGTATGTAATAATTTAAAGTGCCTAGGAACACGCCGTGTAAATAGTGCAATGCAGTACCCAAAACTCCATAAGTGTTGCCAGATTGTACTAAAACCGAATTCACATCGGTATGGTCACGTGCTCTGTCAAAATTCCGTGTTTGAAATAAAGGCACTTTGGCAAATGATACATAGAACCTATTGAAGTAATTGTACGTTAAGTTACTATTTCAACCAGCTAATTTGTTCCGTTCTTTATTCAGCTGTGGCAGATGATTGTTTCACACCTTCATTCATTTCTGTGAATTTTTCTAAGAGGTTGTCAGGCGTTGGTGGCTTTTAGTCACGATGGAAGTAATTAAAGAGAATATATTTTGATTGTGACCGTCAGTCAATTTGTCAATTCTTAGTTCCTTTTTTTTATGACCGTAATATCTATAAAAGCTTAAACTGTTTCAAAGTAGCTAAAGGTTGAATGCGTCGAGAAACAAGCAGTGCCTGTCAGTGCTCTACTCCGGCGGATAGACCAATACGGCAAGGAAAACATTATATTAAAACGAACAGCTCGCTTTTTTTCATCTATTCTTGATAAGCTTTAGATCTTTTAAGGGCCAAAGTTTACAAGACCGGTAAAGTAATGGAAGGAATTTTCGTAGTTACACTGTTTTTGTTAGGGCCTGTCTTCTCTTTTCCATTTGCCAAATCATCGGATGAGGTAGGTTAAAAGGGATGGAACTTGAATTTATAGGGCACAGTCAAAAGAATTCTTATCATTAGCAGCTTATCATTAGTCTGGTTTGTTAAAATTATGAGCAATTTCTGTTTGTCTTGTACTAGCAACTTCCTCTAGCATCTTTCTCGCTTAATCCCTTAACCCCAGATGGACCATAGGCCAACAAGAGAGAATGATCTAGCTAAGTCTCTCTTGAGGCCAACAAATTCGTCTCCCCATCTTTTTCACTGTAGCAACTACATCTTAATTTAGGTTCCTCCATATCTCCCAACGGTACAAAAAAATAACTAAAAAAACGTTAAAAAAGTAAATAAATTTGTTGATAGATATTGTTCTCACGCAAACTAGAGAGCCTTTCGTTCAAAGGTTATCAATTTTACTGCGTTTATTTTTTACCGCAAACTGCATAAAAGTTATAATATTGATAACAAGTGAGGTAACATTCTACAACTCTTGAATTGACGACTTTTCATTTAACATCTAGGATGCATCCCTGCTCAACTCAGAACTACCTGTGGAAAATCCAAGTAAATCAAGACATAACCCAGGTACATTTTAATAATATTGCCCTAAACAAAACCGTACTTAACCTATTAAGATCAGTGGCCACAAGTAGAATAGCAGTTTGGGTAACTGTCAAGTTACCACTGTTAGCCTTTTTCAGGCGTCCAGGTGGTAGTCTTATTTTGTGAATAAACTACCTTGTTTCGAAGCAATGAAGGAATTATACATCCTGCCTGAGTCGAGTTACGTGTTTTGGGACAGAAAAACACTGTCATGATTTTTGCTTCGATCCTCAACAAAACTATACTTGCGTGCTCTTTAAAAGTACAAAGCATCCAGGGCGAGTCACGTGAAGGATATTGTCCTGGAAACACAACTTAAACTGTGTTGTTACCGGTAACGGAAAGGTTTATTGCTCTCTTAAGCTTTTGATAGGCTTGAAGGAGAGACTGGTTAAAAAAAATCGTCTTGTAGTCCAAGAGAGGACTTGCACTTAACTCATTCCCTGTCCACAATTTCACACCGTCCCCTCTAGACATTAAAAGTCCCCTAGGTAGGGAATATACGTCTGTAGTGTAAGGTGGTCCTCATAATCGCTGTAATCCCTTATTTCCAAACGTTATTTCGTAAGAGCTGATTGTTCCCTCTGAATGTAAACGTCGCAAAGATGGAAGGGTTTTTAAATAAGGCTAACGTTTATTTTTCTGATCATGTACAGATGGGAATGTCAACGCCAAGAGAAATCTTTATCAGTTCCATAAAATGATTGAATGCTCTACCAACCTATCATCCTACCATTACCATGACTACGGTTGCTACTGTGGTTACGGAGGAGGTGGCAACGCAGTGGACGAAACTGACATGTAAGGAAAAAAAGACAAAAATTCCGTGAACTGCAGTCAGTTATAGGCCCATCTACCTTTAAACCCCAATATACACATACAAATTCTCCACACTTATATTCATACATTTCCTTAGAGATAATTTGAGAGAGTTTAATAAAAGATCAAAGCATTTTCTCTTTGTTGAACATTTGATTAATTCTCATAACCTTATCTCTTGACAACGTATGGATATTGCTAGGAGAAATTTGATGTTGATCACTATTGAGACTTAAAGGGTTAAACCCCCGGCTGTAAGCCCCCCTCCAAATGCATTAAAGTGAATACGATTTGTTATGACGTATTGAAGCCTAAACAAAAACCATTAGTGCAAAATGTGTTTTGATCAATGCTGCCATAGCCCGTATCAAGGACTCTTTCCTATTTCTGTTAAAAGCCCCACCCTGGGATACAGGTCTCTCTGTAAGCCCTCATAAAACCCCTAACGAAGATGTATTAGTCCAGGGCTTATAAGTTGCAGTTCATGCCAGGGTACTTTGTTTACTAGTAAACATGGGGAAAAACTAATTCTATTGTTCTTTAAACAGCTTAATTACTTTAAAAGAAAAGGAAGGAAGAGAAACATTAAACTAGAAACTAGTTAAAAGCCGGGTGTTTTTAAAAAGGTAGAGATATGCACCTGTATAAAAAATCACATTATTATGTTCAAATAACTTTATTTCCTTATATCTCTTGATTTCTTGAACGAAAGTTGCTATGTTTCATGTAGAGCTGCAGCATATTTCGTCTGTTAAACTTAGTGTTCCAAATCATGAGCACCGCATCAATCTGTGAGGGTGCTTCGTTGTTTATATACTAAAAACTGTCAGTGAATATTTATTGTTAATGACCACTACACCCTTTTGTCTCGAAGTTTACTCTATATATTCCTATAGCAAAAGCCATTGGGTGTGAAGAAAGTGAGTCAGTGAATGTAACTTATTTTTTAAAAGTTAGGTGCTAGGTTTGCAGAAGCCATTGGATGTAGAAACATTGAGTGATTCAGTTTTCCTTTTTTTTCAAACTTATTTAGGTGCTGTAAGATTCACGACGCATGTTACGAAGCCATATCAAACCACCCAAATTTGTGTTCCTTCGAATCCAGTGTTTATTGGAAAATATACTCAAGAGACAACAGTTGCACAGGCTGCAGTAAGTTTTGTTTCTGTTCAAAAGTCATTTGTGGTCTCCGTATAATCATTTACGACGTTGTAAACACGCGCTCAAGGAACTACCCTCTTTATTGTGATCTGCTATGACCTATGATCTGCTCTCTCCAAACCCACTAAGAGGGTCCCCAATGGGGTTCTTCAATCCCGTAATCCTTACCCAAAATTTCGTGCAATCCCGTAATCCCGAGGGTTATTTGGGGCATTCTAACTCGCGCATACTTTCAGTCCCAAATCTTGCCAGATTTTGCTTTAAAATCCCGAATTCCGATCTTCAAATAACAAGGGAAATCCTGGATCCCGAGAAACCTATTGGGGACCCTCTACTAAATATTAAAGCAAAATTCGAAAAAAGTAAAATTGTATTACCGCAGCCCGTTGGTTAGATGACTTGACAATCGAATGCAAACCGCGGCATTTTATAAAGCTATCCGAGTATGTGTGTGTATGGTGAACCAAAGAATTTTAATTTCCGTTTAACTTATTCGTTAACGTTTGATAGTATCTCGACCACTATGTTTATAAATAGTACAATTTTTGCAATAACTGAGAGAATCCTCGCGCGCTGATTGGTCGAGACCTATGGTGTATAAGAGTATAGACCATGGAAATGAGGCAACATGTCACCCAGTGTCGGTTGCGTTTTTTTTTTTTTTTTTGGTTTTTTCGTAAAAAAATAATAAATGTATTTTTTTTTTTTTTTTTTTGGTTTTTTCGTAAAAAAATAATAAATGTTATTGTAAAAAACAAATCGACCACAATTTTTCATGGTCTACCTCTTATAGCCCACAGAAATGACGCCATAAATTGTTTATGACGTCATTTCTATGGTATATGAGAGTGTAGACCATGGAAAATTGTGGTCGATTTGTTAAATCTGTTTACCATAAACCCTTTAAAACGGTAAAGTGTCCTCTAAAACAGATCAGTGAGAGGTTTCCCTTTAACGCTTCAGCTCTGCACTTTGAACTAAGAGAAAGGAGAAATGTTAGAGACGTTTATATAGTGGGGGCAGAAACTTGCCCCTACCCCCACTCCAACAATATATTTAAAACCTCTACTAACTTTTACGACTTTGTGGTGCTTAACTTCATTAATTTTCAATCTAACTGAAATCTAGTAACTTAACCAATTTTGAATTATAAGACCCTCTTTAGAGCTGTTTTGATGAATTTTAGCCAACTGGTCCGTCTCAAAAGTTCCTAAAACCGTGAAAGCTTCTATCATTGATGAGTTTTTTTACATAGAAGTCCTTTTTTTCAGTTCTTGGAACTGACTCTGTCCTTTCTTTTTTGTTTGTCCTCCCTATAGCTGACGAAGAAGGGACATGTGGCCGTGCCATTTGCGATTGCGATGGAGTAGCGGCCCGTTGTTTTGCGCAAGCACAGTACAATTCAGAAAACTTTAACTACCCGCAGGAAAATTGCTGAATATCCTCCAGTCAAACAGGAATGTCAAATTGAACAAGACAACGGGATACGTACTTATATCGCTTCTTAAATATTAAGCAACATGGGTGTAGTTTAAAAAAAAACTTGCATTAAACTTCGTATTCTTAAGACATAGCTATAAAATAGCTATTGCAATAGTGTATGTACTTGTATTGGTCCTGCAAATAAAGCTTGTTGTTGTAGTATACTAAGATTAAAACTCTGATAAAATCAAACTATAGATATGCTTTATACCTTTTCTCCTTTTGAAATTATTAACATAACCTCAACCCCCGGTGCTGCTTTGCCTGAGCTGTTTACTCGGTAAAAAAAAAAAACAATAAACTTCAACTGGACTAAATCGCGCTATATGCACGAAACCCGTAAACGCATTTATTATTGGGCTGCCTGTGGCCAATCGAAAAATAAGTCGCATCTATGTCGAAAAAAGACAAAATGGCGGACGATCTCCGAGAAGGCGTTGCTTGTCCTATTTCCCTTGCAGTGCAACCGACTTTTGAGGGGAGAGGGTCCCTGCGTTTTTACCATGAATTCAACGGCCTCCTCCTGGGGACGAGGTTGCCCTGAATTTTCCATTCATTGAAAGCCGCAACGAGTGATTTTTTATAGTTTGTACTCAGTTTTGGAGCAGCTATAAACTCAGCGTTGAAAATATTAGACCACTGCAGCCCAAAACACGGGTAGTATAGGCGTCTTATTTAAAATACATTTCAATCAAATCCTTGAAGCAGGGTTTAGCCATGTAAAAGTGAGGGGCACTAAAACGCATCCAATAGCTAACTATAGATAAAGGAGTGGCAGGGATAAGGGGAGGTGAGAATTAAAAGAGATAAACTCGAACTATGCTTTTTTCATAACTGCACAATTGAAAAGAAAACCTGTGGAGAAATTGTCGTTTGCAATTTGTAATCTATAGCTGATGGTGAAGCAGATATGATTTCCGAACTGATTGCTTACAAAATGTCGATGCATTGACACCAGAAAGGGGTTTCAAGCCCGGGTGGGTACTCAACAAAAGTTTGTTCGGGGAGGTTCCGCCTCGAGGTCCAATTCCTTACCCTTTCATGTACCATTTTTGACAGAACACGGTACTCCTTTCCTGTACCTTTTTTTTGACAAATGGCAAATACCTCAGTTTTACTGACAAATGGCACCCATTTCAAATACTTGTGTAGAGCGCAGCATCCATTCTAACTGTTGTCAATGCAAGGTCTTTTACATATGAATAAATCACTAAACCAGAAAGTTATCTGGCTTTTTCCGCAGGCATAAAATGCGCCTGATAGTCGTTTCAGGTCCGCTCGCAGACCGTAATGACAGTGTAGGGAACCCCCTACCTTTTTATATACCTGAGGCCCGAAAAAGGTACCGCTTTCGGGTGGGGCCTCCCTGGTAGGGCATTTTAGGGAGTACCCCAGGGTATCAGGTTAGAAAAGTTAATTAAGCAACCACTAAGGAGATTTCTACAGCCATGTTTGCAGGGCCCTTTTCTTCCTCCCTTAAGAGAGGACCCTGATCCCGTCAAGTTACATCCAAGCTGTGGCACTATCGATCTGATTCTCCCCAATTACCCGCTCTTTATTTCGCTACCGTGATGTCTTCTTGTCAAGAGGAAAGAGTGTCGCGCGAAAAATGTTTACAGCGCATCGAGGTATGCAGTTGCTTCTAAAAAAACCAGTCGAATTATCCTAGTTCAGGTCTTTCCATGGTCGTTTTGATACAAGTTGATTTAGTCAAGGAGTAAATAGTTTCACGTCCTTGCCTTAGAGAAGGAGAAATATTCACCCCAAATGTTTCTGGTCTCTCCCAATTTATAGTTGAAGCGATCGAAATTGTTGTAGTTTCACTGGTTGATTTCTTGTATCGAAATGAACGATTTCCCTAATGGTGCTTACTTACACAGGGGGCACAGGTGCTTCTTACACTGTAGGAGGCAATAATTTTGCCTATTGGTAGAACAAGTAACTGATGATTAGTTTAAGTTTTATAAGCACGTTCAAATTCATTTGATTTCTTCTCACTGACAGTCTCTGTAACGTGGGGGAGGTTCTCATAGGAAAGGAAAAGAAGTGGATGTGCTCGTCGGATAATTGGAGTAAATATCCTAAAGGAAGGAAAACTAGGCGTGGTTCATTCTTTCCTTGAAGACTGAAATATACCATTGTAAAGTAGACAGCCAAATAAGAGCTATAGTAATCTCAAATCTGATAAATAAACTGTCATTGAATGCTTTCTTTTTTTTTTTTCTTTCCTTCTGTTTCTTTATTGCTTAAAGTAGAGTTCTAAGCGATGCTTGTGTGCGTGAAAATATTGACCTTCCATCTTCAACACCCTAGGTGACAGCAAAAGCTGCAATTTATGTTCATAAATACCGAGTATCCCAGCCCTTTTAACACAGCGGCATCATTGTCTCAACCAGTCCAAGCTTGGTATTCACTATAACGCTCTCAATATGAGAAACCAAGCATCTAATCTTCTTTTCTTGGCCATGATAACTTGTGTTTTGTCTTTAGCGTTTTGTTTTGGGGTAAGTTTTATTGATATATACCCGTTGCATAAAGAAAGTCTTACGTTGGTAAAGGAAGACAAGGATAATGCACCTTTCTATATACGTATACGTGTATCTAAAAAAGTACATTTTCCTAGATGGTTCCCAATACACCTCTTTAAGTAAATTTAAAAGTTGTATGACTGCTAAATCAGTGCCGGGTGACGGGACTCTTCAGCTTCGTTACTGCTTCTGTAATGGGAAGTACTGTAACCTACTATCACGCGTGTTTTTTTTTTCCCGTCTCCCAAACAAAAGCGAAAAAGGACCGCCTGATCAAAGGTTAGGACTTTTGTATCCAGAATGATAGTTTTTACCTGTCTGTAAGCTCAACCACAGTTCTACAAGCTTCAAGGAAGCACTGTTCTGCTTTTGTAAATTAAAGTGGTTGCATTTTACGTACCTAACAGCGCGAGCGTCTTTTCACTGATGAAAGGTACAAATCGCGCAAGATGTTTTCACTTATGAAAAAACAAGCAACCTCACTAGCAGCGATTGTCAAATCATTATCAACTGTCTTATATAAATCTGTTTTATTATTTTATCATGACCAATCCCGGCCAGTGTGTGGAAACTGCCTTGATTGTGTCGCGAATATGGCCACCTCTAAACATGAAAGCAAATATGAATTAGAAAATAATTTGGAAAAAAACTGTGATTTTTTTTTGTTGCGTCTGTGATCACTTGTTCCATTTGCTTTGATTTTCGGAAAGAAGACCAAGAGGTTGCTCTCAAAAAAATGCCCAGTAAGTTTTCCCTTTCAGTTTGCGAAACGTAATCTAGACGCGGATATTTTAGCACGGCCCCAAATGCATTCTGCCGTTTTTTGCTCATGGGAGAAAACGAGCAATTCTCAACAATTTATGAGATGATAAACTGACGCCACGGTATATTCGCGTATAATTTTTCAAAGACATTCATTTTAGTTTGGTACTGGATGCATAATTGTTGCGTTGTTTATATAGAGTGAAAAGATTCTCTTCAGCTAACTGAAGCTTACGCGTAGAACAAAAACAACAGAAAAGATAAAACGGCATTTATTGTTCTTAGTCTTATGTTAAAAATCTTAATCTATTTTAACTTATAATTTTTGTGCGTGTCAAAGACCCAATGTCTGATAACATTAGAACTTGTGGTAAAAAGATTTCACCGCGTTAGTTGAGGGGTTTCCGTGTTACGTGCACCACACACAAAAAGAAACAATAACATTTATTATAATAGAGCGGACTTTCTCTGCTGGGAATAATGTGCCCACATAGCTTTGTGTGCTGAGTTTTTCCCACGGTGTACTTTTGAGAAGTCAAAATAACGAAACATTATTTGAATAAAAATTGCAAATCCATTAACTCCATTAGCATCGTCGTAACTAAAACGAGTAGTAATTACTTTATTTATGTTTTGAAACTCTCACGAACTTGTTGAAGTTAACAAATACTGTTGTCATCGAAAGACAAAGCGATCATTTTACCTCCCTTCAGCTGTTAATATTTATCGTTTTGCGTTGTGATAGGTTGTTCAACTTATTGTAGGCGAACTGTTCATTGTAGAGTACAACGCGTGCAAAAATAAAGAGTAAAGCAGCACCCAAACTTGAAGCTCAGAATGATGATTATTCTAACGGCTTCTAACCTGCGACTGGGAAGCGTTCGTCTGCCTGGGAAGCTACTGGGAGCAGAGCTGTCTCTCTAAGCTAGTGGAATGCTGTTTCAAAGTAATTTGAAATAGACTGAAAATAAAACTGGAAAGTTCGTTAGATTCGCGAAAGAACGAAAAATGGCAAAGTTGTATTTTTCATTATATAGAGAGTACTCTTTGGAAATAGGCGATCCTAGGTAGCAAGATTTACAGGTCGCGTGTTAAATAATATGAACCTAGTATATGGCTTTGCTCTGAGTGAATCTTTCTGAGGCTTCACAAATAAATAGCCCACCTGGTGCTTAGGATTTTATAGATGTTTGTACCCTGTTGGGAACTCGAAATGTTCGTTTTTTCTGGCGCTAATGACATGACATTATTGGACGTTCCCTTTTAAAACGCGTGCCGTCCAAATGGTGACTTGGGATAGTTGGGTTTACCCCTCGAACACTATTATACTCAAACTTGTTCCCAGAGCTTTTCCTTTGTTCACAACTTAGGAGGTGTGGGACCTAGGAAAGAGGCTGTACCTCCCTGTTCGCATAGTCATTTTGTCACTGATCATTGAAAATTCCGCATGAACCAAGGTCCTTATTATTGCATTTCAGCTAACCACGTCAGATATAGGCGAAGCCTGTATCAGTTTTACCAGATGATTTCCTGTGCAACTAATAATAATCCTCTCAAATACAATAAATATGGCTGCTTCTGCGGACTCGGAGGCCAAGGAACACCAGTGGACAACCTGGACAGGTGAACCTTTTTGGAGTATCCAGTGCATTTCTTTCAACGGGGGGGGGGGGCGGGGCGGGGGGGGGGCTTTCTTGTTTTCTGCATCCACATCAACAGCACTATGAATAAGGCCTAATTAGAAAAAGCTAATCTTAATTGCGTGAAGTGTCACACGCTATATACGCCTGTCAGGACAGTCGAGTCGAACCGGTTCGATTACAGAAAATGCCCGCTGTTTTGGTGTTTTATGCTGGAAGCTACATTTTTAATCAATTTTAACTTTTGCTTGCAACTCCTCCTCGCCTAGCTCTGCAATTGAGCAAGAGAGGTAGACTCTTAAAGCTTCCTTCTCGATGTTATCAGTATAAATTCAGACCGTTTTCTTTTTCAATATCTGAGGTGTTGTCAAAAGCACGATTCATGCTACAGACAGATCAACCTGGACAAACGCTGCAGATTCCCCTGGTACATTTATGTCAAATCGTACGAAAGAAAGGATTGTACAGGATGTGGTATGATGTGGTAGTTTTTTTAAGTTTTTTGGCACCTACTCACACACCTCACTTACGAGGCAGCATCTAGAGGTTACGTCTTTTAAGCCCCGTGCAAACGGACGTAACATTGTTGGCCAACAACTCCCAACATTTTTGGATGTTACATGTTGCGTCCGTTTCCACACTCAGTTCATTGTTGGGAGTTGTTGCGTCCGTTTGCACGCAGCCTTAGGACTTTGTGAATCTCTAACAGGTATCAAAGAAACGTTGACTTTGTCTAGTCCCTGTGCGACGTTTTCCAAAGTACTCTCGCTCAATTCATTCGCCTGGACCACGTGGCCTCAAACACTTTAGCCGCGCGAAATAATGATGCCTAGGGACAAGGGAAACGTTGACCAAGGTGCGAACTCAGGTCAAGGACCTCAGTACCATAAATAGTTTTTCCTAACAGACCAATCAGTGTCTACGTTGTCATGGTTTTCCCTCTTAATTTTGTTCTGGTTGGATCTATCAGGAGTAAGAGACTTGTCAGCATATCTCTTCGGATCAGTAAGGCACACAACCCTGCTGGCACCCCCAAAACGCAGCTGAATCAGTGAATGCAATTTTTGCACCTCATGTGTTTTCAAAGCTACAACCGGGGACAGGAATCTTGAGACAGTGTTCTCAAATGGGTAGCTTCAGCCAACAAAACAACCCACACCCCTCCCATCCATTCAGAGTCGGGATGTTTGTTGCTTCTTACAGGTACCTCGAACAGCGACACAACATTGCATAGATGGGGTGAGGGTGGTCAGAAAGGCTCTTTAAGGCAAAATGTCGCAACTAATTTTGTCGCCGATTGTTGCTTGAATGGTAATGGAACCAATGCCAAAACACAGTCATAGACTCAGAATCTACTATATTTCAGGCTTTCTTAGCTTGCAAATGCTTACGTTGTTCACTTTAAGGTTTTGTTTATTTGAATTTTTGTTTTTTGCCCTTGCAGACTCTGTCAACGACGACTGCCAGAGCGCCATCTGCAAATGTGATAGTGTTGCAGCACAGTGTTTCGCAAAAAATAAGATAAATCCAGTGTATGAAAAGTATCCACAAAGGAAATGCAAATAAGAAATAAAAGATTGTAATGCAAAGGCACAACTTTACATTTCTCAATTTATCACTTGTTAGCAACTGATTACGTCCTAGTCTCTTTTTCCTTTCCTGACTCCTTCCACTATTATAGTCCAAAAAAGAAACGAAAATGGTTTGCCGATGCGAAAGGAAAATGAGAAATCTCTGGAATGCAGGATAGGAACCACTGATATTAATGACCACATTTTGTCAATTGTTGGATTCTGATGCAGTCAGTACACAGGCAGCCCATTCTGCCCTCGCCTGCAGAACAGGCGATATTGGGGACACTAAGGCGAATTTTGGTGTGTGGGCGAGAAGCATGACAAGGAAACAGACACTATGAAATGCCACTGCTATTCAAGGAATACCCTCTATTACCTGGCAATCGCTCGGTGTCGCTGACTCGTTTTGAATATCTCAAACAAATATTCCCATCTGTCCGAGAGCAATCCGAAGGTCGGACCCAAATCTTCAAACAAAAAAAAAAGGCAAGAAAAGGCGAACCTAACAAAGGGTGGGCCAAAGAGAGCAAGTAAAAAAGAGGGGGATCAGCTAATCAAGAAATTCATCTGTGAAGAAACCTACGACACATCGCACTCCCAAAACTGCCTGAGCCCCCGCCCCCCTTCCTCCCCCTAAAGCCTCGAAGGCACGTGTCGACTGATGAAAACCACATCGTGTCGACTACTCATAATCTAAGGGCCTGTTTACGTGGAGGTGGGGGACTCCAGGTAGGTGAGGTAACCCGCTTAGGTGGGGTAACCCGCCTGTCCATATAATCGCTCATTTTAATTTGATCACGTTTACACGATAGGTAAGGTGACCCACTACATGTTACCCTACCTATCTGGGGTCCCCAATCTCCATGTAAACAGGCCCCAACACCACAAGGTCTAAGACTGGGTTACATTTAAATGATAAATAAAATGTGTTTTTGGCAAGGAACAATGTATTTGAAAGTTTTCATAAAAATGTCTTTAACTGTGTGTAGGAAGAAATATTAGTGCCAGAACGTTTGCTCATCATATAGAAAAAAACGGGAAAGCATTTGATTACATAACTAGGCTCCAGTTGTTCAATACATGGATAAAGCTCAGCCGCACGAAGTCTGGGAAAGAGAATTTCTCGGTGACGTCACAACTCACGGTAGAGTTCAGGATTTACCTAGCCGAGAACGCCTAGGAACAAGGTTGGACAAAGCTGTCTTATGCAGCGGTGAGGGTAACAGACTGGACGAGTCTGCGGAATGGCATGTGGCATGGCTTGCGGAATGACATAATTATGCGGAATGTAATAGATGGAAAATGGCCCAAAGCAATAAATTAAACAGGAAAGCACGCGCACGTCTTTGCCGCGCCTTTCTTGGCGCCAATTTGAGCGAGGACCACTTTGCCGGTCCATTTATTACTGCTGGCTCAAACCAACAAGGCAGACCAGAAAGCAGCGATAAGTGTTACTGCATTCGTGTCTATGTAATACTTTTAAGTATTTATTAAAATTAATACTTAATTCATTTTTTGGGTTTTCGACAATACTTTCTCTTTTTCTGCCCACCATTCTAATATAATCAAATGTCAAAACGCTAGAGGGAAAAGTCGGAAAAGAACACTTGTTAAACGTGAAGTCAGGCTATCTGCAATTCTAGGTAACGGACACGGTGAACGAATCAGATAATATTTCAGACTAAATGAACGCCCCGAGTCAAACATTAATCTGTAATCCAGAAATCGAGTGAAGCGAACTGCTCTCTGTCTCCCTTCGACCTTTCCGCGCGTCCTTCTTGCTTGTGTGAGTGTGTGCGTTTGATCGTGAAAAAAATGCTAAAACGGTAGGAAGAAAACTTAAAAACAGAAAAAAAGACAGGCTCAATTGCAGAACTCTCCCTTCTCCGCCAGCTGCTAGCTTCGCGTGCCGGGAACACAACCACACGCAGCCAAGGAAACAAAATACAAGATCTGATCTCTGAATATTATATCAAGATCACGTAACCCACCGTCTGAGAAAGAAACACTTCTCACGTGGTAAACAGATATCGGTAAAAGGAAACTGTTAAGTCAATCGTGCAAACATCTTTTGCAGAAAAAAATAAAGTAGAAGGGAGCGCGACCTTCAAAACATTTTTTCCTAAATTGCCGACTTCGGTGATGTAGTATCCGTGCCGCCATGCAACCCGACTAATAAAGGCAATAAGAATCTTTGTGGCTGTGCGGAAAAAGCTAATCGAGCTTGAGCAATCAAGGAGTCCTTCGTGGGTTTTTGATTGTCATCGTATGTCGAGCCCGTAACATTAAAAAAAGCGGCCGCGTTTGCAAATTGATTAGCGCCACGACAAGGGCACACTTTTCAGTTTAATTTATTTCTTTGGGTCATTCTTCGTATATTACGTTCCCCATAATTGTGTCATTCCGCAAACTCCTTCCGCCTTTTACCCTCGCCGCTTATGCAAGGGATAAAGCAATTGGATTCCCTAATACTTATCCAATGAATTTTTATTTATCCGGTGCATTAGCGCAATTCAACGTTTGAACAACAGGGCCAGGTGTTCAGTATATTATCTGCAACTTGATTAGGGATTTATGTCGACATTCGCATTCGTGAAAAAGTACAGTGAAACGCTGGTTATAAAAGTGTTGATTGTTACGTACTCTCAGAAGACAGAGACACATCGGGGCTTTGTTAACTCCATTGCGAAAAGACACATGATATTGGCAGTCTTTACACTAGAGCCTAAATAAGCTAAGAAATATTTCAAGACAAGTAAATTTTAAATTCTTCAAGTAAAAGAAAGCTTCACACACAACCTATTTTTTTTTAATTCAGGTTTATGGACCAGTCATTTGAAACCCCCGGACAACGTTTGAAACTAAGTCGAGCTACTGCCGTGCTAAAGTCGAATTTGATTCACTGCTACTGAACAGCAGTAGCCACGTTTGAAACGGGCCTAAGTCTGTTTTAAGGATGGTTTTCAAGTCACTTGAAACTTTCTTGAATCGTTTCAACTTTCCGACTTTAATGAGATGCAAAGTAAAGTTACTTGAGATTTTACTAAGGCCTTCACTCACACATTTTTGGTTAAGTAAAACTTAGCAGCTCTTAAGTCTTTCTTAAAGCCTGGTTCTCATATGCCGCCGATGCACCTGCGACATGGCCGCTGGTACTGCCTGGGATACTGTTCCGATATGAGAACAGAAGTGGCGGGCAACATTGGTCATCCCCAGGGCGGATAAAGGTTGGGCTGTGAAACGAGCGCGTCCGAGCAAAAAGGTGTGATGCAGTGGACTGGGACTCTGCTTAGAAATGTCGCTTGTTTTCGACTTCGGTCAGGGCTTGGGATGTTGAGATGTGGTTTGTACAATAGATACTGCCGCTGTCACTGAATTATGGCAGCTTGATTTATTTCCTTGCACTTCTTCCTCGATCCTTTGTGCTGGTACGCTGTCTCCAAGAGGCAAATGTTGCTATTTTTTGCGGGAGGTTTAGTTGGAGTAGACAAACATCTCTTTCAAAGGGTTTCTTTTATTACTTCCATGACTCTACAACTGAATTATATTTTCGTTCTGCTACTCGCCAATGTCGATGTTATTTCAAAACAAAAACAACTAAGTACTGTCTAAAACACGAAGGAACATCTCATCCATGTCATCCAAGGCAAAACTAAATGACAGCAGATCGTGTTTCATAACTAGATGACGTGTCAGTTTTATAACTGCGTGCAGCTCGTGCAAGGTGAAATTATGCTAATTTCAGTCACCATCATCCTTCTTTTTAATTTTGAAAAAAACATCTCATACGTCTTTCTGTTTGTTCGAAACTTCAAAATTAGTTCCCCCTTAGTTTTTACTGATTACCTTGTTTAGTTTTAGAGACAAAAACTGAGAAAAAACCTTACAACTAACCTCAATAAATTTTGTTTACATACGGTTGCCGGATTTGCAACGCATTGCGCGAATCGCCATGGCGCGTTGCACCCGAGAAGCAAAGTTTGAAGAAGTACAACGCCACTGTATCAATATATATCAATCTAATTTTCGGTTATGTTAAATAAAATTTACCCCCCTTTAACATATGTAAAAATTGAGGTTAAGAAGTGTTAAGCTTTTGCAAACGAAACGGCGAAAGACGATTAGGTGATATTTAGTGGAAGGAGGAGGTAGAAAATTTCGCCGGCCTTCAAGCGCACCGGAAGCGCGGAAAGAGCGCTCGTGCCAGTCCTACTCCGCATCACACATTAAATGAAGAGCGGAGCGCTCGTTTCACCGCCCAACCTTTATCCGCCCTGGTCATCCCAGTCTTTATCGCCGGCATGCCTGCAAAGTTGTCTCACGTTCAACTTCGCAGGCATGCCGGCGGTAAAGCTCTGCGATGGCTCTAGTTGCCAGCGGCGCATGTATTCATTCGTCCGGGAAGTAGTCCAGACGGTACCGGCGGCTACGTTGCAAATACATCGGCGGCATATGAGAACCAGGCTTATTACTGTAAAGACAACCATTACGAATTTAACTAAAGCTTTCGTGCAGAATTATCTCTTGAAATAGTCTCGAGAAAGAAAACAAAATGCCCGACATATTTTTGCTATTTACACGATAGACTAAAATTCCGTCCGAATTACTGTTTCAGTTTCTCTTTGTACGAATTATCTTTTAATGTTAGCTTTCTCTTGATGCTAAAAATTCGATTCGAAATCATCCTTACTTCCGGTTAAAACGTTAAACGGCGCTTTTCTGTTTCAATTCCCTTTTGTCAATAATTTCCTCATCACATGAAAGATCAAACTCAGTCTTCTGTTTAAACTGAAACTGAAAAATAACAATTGGCCTGAATTGTCGGTCTGAATATATCCGGTAACCTTTTTTTTTTACTGAGAAACATCTACGGAAAGAACGTGTTTCGTACAGAGAGCTGTTTGGCTATCTGCTTTATTCGATCCGTGGTTCCTTTTAATACCGGCAAGAAAGCAGACCTTTGCCAAGGTCAGATAATCTGAGATAGAGGTAAGAATATTCCTGGGAATCAGATGAATGACCTTATTGCCCAGGTACTTGGCAAATAAAAGGCATTAGAAACTTGTCTATTCTGAGCAGCTTAAAAGCTTCTTGTACTCTTCAGTTTATTCTATCACGTTCGATCATTACTCGAAACTTGAAAGGCCACATTTTCTTGAGAGTATAATGGCCTCCGTCTGCTAATCGGAGTTTGGTTTCTGGAATGATAAATTGCCGACTTTTCATTCGGCTTTATTTGTTTACTATGTGGGATTTTGCTGCCACTTTTCGAACGATTTGACAGCTATTTGATTTAGAAACTACCAGAGAAAAGCTTGAGCACAGTGTCTACGACGCCAGCATGTAAATACAAAATCCGAATAAAAAACCAAAGTATTAATGAATCATGAGTGTTTAAACCGCGCTGAGCTATTCTAATATGACCATTGTTATTCACTGGCTTGAATTAAAAACGACAAACGGTAAATGTAATAAAGCAAAGAATATCACAAGTAGAAAAAAGAGTTTTGGGTTCACTTTCAAACTCATAAGGTTGGAAGGGCAGTGGAAACACTAATTGAATAAAATCACATTTCACAAAGGCAAGGATATTAAATTGTGTTGAATCTGTAAACAGATTTCACCTGTAAAACAGGCAAAGCCAAATTTAAATTTGATTGAAAAACGTTATATAAGTAAATAAGTTATCCAGTGTACTTTTAAAATAAAGGCAGCCTTAAACAGCTGGGACATATAATTTAATTGCAAACGACATTTCCCTGACTAAGATCGGGGATTTCATGGGTTCTCTTTAAATTATACAGTTTTAGTTCACTGGGACGTTTATTGAATTTATTGTCACAATGTCAAATGTAAAGAATAACACTCGGAACAAGTATTAAACGAATCAATAAAACGCGCAAGAAACAATATTTATAGCACGTGTAAAAGATATTTAAAATATTCATTTCCCCATAAAAGAGATAAATCTTTGTCATTAACTAGTACGTTTAATATGGAGGTTTCCTATTTATTTTGCTTAGTTCATCGTTCTGTAGATAATGTTGATTTTGTCAATAGCATCGCACAAGCAAAACATTGTTCAGGATATGCGAGATTTTGTAAAATAGGTGATACGCTGCCACTTAGTAGCAAGGGTAACCTTAGCGCATTAGCCTGTGAACAGGCTCTGTTTGGGGAAAAACATAGCAAAGGCTATAGCGCATTTGTAAACACATCGATGAAGTATGTTGTGGAGTTTACTAAGTTTCTACACCAATGGGTTGTTCCTAGTATAAATGATACCACGGGCCAAAAACTCCCTAGTTCTCTCACTATAAGTTTTTATGGTCTTGCCTGTGTACAAAACATACTTATTATTGTCATCTTTGACATCTTTGTGGAAAAAGTGAATAAAGTACACCTAAACAGAATTAAACACGGCAGGTGGCAAAAAATAATTGAAAAAAATTGTAAGGAGAGCCTTTGTTGTTTATTCTATTTGATCAAAGAAGAATTACAAACGACAACAACAAAAAGAAATTTCGAAGTCAAACAGCAAGGATGCGGAAACCGACTTAGCTAGAAAATGATTCCTTAAAACCGTCAATTCGGTGCGTAGATTTCTATGACTGAACGTGGAGAGCATGACAAAAGGGGCTTTATTCCAGAAGATTGATTTACCGCATACCCAATAAATTAAAACCACCGCAAGAGGTTTTACATATTTATTAGTACATGTTTTATTACGCTTAAACAGATTACCAAGGCCACGTAGACATAAAAATTAGCGAATGTCACCACTATATTCGTTTAAACTAACAAGGTTAATAACTAGTTTCACATTTCCTCTTTCACCCGCGAGTTAAGGTTCCAGAGGTTTTACAGGTTAAGTATTGTCCTTTTCCATTTATCAAAATTAATTCAAATTTGATGCTGGAAAAGAAAAAAGAAGAGATTTATTTTAATTAAGTGGGCGGGCAAATATATTAAAAGTTGAAATTCAGCGAGAGATGACACAGATATTGCACCGATTCAGCGGATTGACAGTTTCGCATGTGCTGTATAGATGGAGTTAGCGCACCTACGCTCTTCACGCTTAATCGTGTTTTCGCTGCTTCGACGAATTAACGCATCTTGAAAGTAGCCGTACGTTCTTAAAAACCCACCTGCCTGAAAACCGTATTAGGGAAAAGGGACTTTTAAAATTGGATTGCGCTAATTCTCTTTCTGCATCTGTGGGCTTTGGACGCGTTATGTACAAATGTATTGGAGCCGTGTTTTCAAAACGAAAGCTGTTTACACTGGACTGCTCGTTAAGTGACATCTTCGTATTGACTGTCACACAGTTTTGCCATAAACTATTAAATACTTTGCCCGTTTAAGAATTTATCTGTCGCTACAGTGAAAAGTTACTGAGTTAAACCTTCAGGAACCTGTCCACGAATGGACACGAACATTTGTATATAGGTGAGATATTGGTTAGTGAAGAACCGTTAGGTTTCGTCGCGGTGGTTAGCTATCATCTCCGGTTAATGAAAGTTGCGGTATATCTAATTTGGATCATCCACTGATTTCTACATCCTTACTTATATACTAGTGACATATCATCATTCGTCAAGGGGAAGTGAAGACCAAAGCAAGATTTGATCGCAGTGAGATGGTCACAGCGAAGCAAATTACAGCGGTTGATGTGGTTATTAGCATCTTAGCGGTAATTACTTTGATGGCAAACGGTACAGTGTGCATTCTGGTGTTCACAAACAGAAATCTTAGAACGTATACAAACGGATTTATCGTTTCGTTAGCCGTGTCCGACATTCTAGTAGGTGTGGCCTTGTTTCTTCAGTACGCTTTATCGATGGACAATAGGTTAGTGCTCAACGTCTTATTTACCACTGCATTGGTAGGGAGTGTAGCGAATTTAACCGCGGTAACATTCGACCGACACTTAGCTTGCACACAGCCCTTCGATTACCAAAATATTATAGCAAGGTATTTCATCAAAATTGTGGCGTTTTGCTGGACAGCAGCCGTCATATCTGCCCTTCTTCCACTTAGCTGGCTCGAAAGCAATTCTGCAGCCTTAGCCCTGAGGATTTATCAGTTTGGCATTTTAATCATCTGCATCGTTGCACCTTACACCTGGATTTTCCTCTGCTACTTACGACTTTTTTGGCAAGTTCACAAAATCGTCAAGCGAGAGAGAAAAATGGCTGTGCACGTACGTGGAGCTCACCAATGCTGCGAAAGAACCAAAAGAGTGTGTTCGGAGGCAAAGATCGCTAAAGTTTTCTGTGTCATCGCTTTCCTCTTTGTAGTCAGCTGGTTGCCAATCATTTGGACGACTTTTGTTTATGCAATAGGCAAGCCTTATTTGATGCCAAAGGTTATCCATTCTCTTTCTTCGTTCACTTTGGCTGTTGGTTCTGTTATAAACCCTATACTGTACTCATTTTTGAAGCCAGATTTCCGAAATGTCTACAAAAAAATATTTCGCTTGATTCCGCGCGGCGAAAAGCGCACGTACAAAGATCACAACGCATTCTCTCGCGCCACGAACCTAACGAAATCGGCCTCCAGGTTACTCCAGGAACAAACGAATCTTTAGGAAACTGATGTTTAATGTGAATTAAAAAAAAGATATAGCTCCACAGTCCCAGGATCTATATTTGCTAAAGAACGGTGTAAGTCAATATGGAGATCTAGATAGTAAAAGAAGATTAGTCTTTTTTTTCCACAGCAAGCACTATAGTCTGGGATTAAGTGAACCCAAACCATTGCGCACGCTTACAACCTGAATACAAGCACCGAAAAAAAAATCCGATGCCTGCAGTTATGTGACTTGAACATTTTCGCGGAAAATAAGGACAGTATGCTTACATTTATGTAGTTAGTGAAAACCAGGCTTAAAAGTTTAAGAACGTCAAAAATTCTTCATTTTATAAAGAAAAATTAGGTTGCACAGAAAAGTCATTTTGCAAATGAATTTCCGGGTTCATTTTTTGCGGCACGTCAAATGAAACTAGCTTATTTAATGAAATCGAAACGTGCTTTGAAAACCATAGCGCCATTACTCAAAGCGATCCGTTCCGCTTCCGCCATTTGTTTAAAATGACATGAAAAAACTACAGTTAATGGCCGCTATCACGTAAGTCGAAGCGGATCCAATAAGCATATTGAAGTAATAGACTACTTTTAAGCTGATCGAGTATTAAGAGAAAGCTCGACTGGTAACGCACGTGTCCGTTGCAAAAACAAGGCCCAAGCACGTAAAATACTGGCAAATATTGAACTATGTGTACAAAAAGAACCAAAAGAGAAATGTTTTTCTTTTCTCGTACTCTGAAGCTGATCAGCAAAGTATCTATAATTTTAAGCTGCATTTATTACTAATGTAGATATCTGGTACTCAAATTAGACGAACCTATGATTAAATAGCGGACGTGGAATTGTCGCCTGTCTTCGTGTAAAATATTAAAACATTGTTTATGGCTTTTAAGGAGAATCGTTAAGTGTTATAGGCTTTTACCCACTACCGAAAGAAAATGTACATAACACACACCCCACGTCAAACAACGTTGGCAAAAAAGTGCTATCTAGAATAATGAACAAGACACAGTAAATACAGTAATTGTCAGGTATATATAGTGTATACGAAAATAAGTATGCATTTTAATGTTTTTACAGCAATAAATTTTTGCTTTCTGGCACACTATTCTGAACAGAGTTATCGTACAGTGAAGCAAGGGAAAGTCTTGATATGAAAATTATCTGATGAACAGGGCGTATAAATGCGTTATGTACGCAAGTAGTTATTTTCAGTGCTTTTCTTGTAGGTGACTACATTTACTTTCATGGGTCGGGATATCAAGCTTTTAGGTGTTAGATGGCTTAAAACAATTCAAAAATCCTGGGAAAAATGAATAGAGTTCATAACTTTTTGATTCTGTGATAACACCTCATGAGTTGACCATCATATGAACTTTATAAAAAAAGCGTTACAATTTCTTTTGGTATTTTGCAAAATATAATTTGGATTTGTTGAATTTTGATTACGAACGCAGCAAAGTGTTCCAGCGACAAGCGTCAGCGGCGACACGTGAAAGCTATTCAAGGCGACAGCTGTTCAGAGATCGGAGTGAAACATTAAATTAAAAGCAAATACAACGTCGTCAAAAGCTGTCAAGTGCCTCAGACGTGTCGACAATAAGCAATTAGAAGTAAAAGACGTAAGTATTGATCGAGGATAACAAGAGCAAAAAACAATAGAATACTCTGATCTAATGTTACAATTACTGCGTGCTCAAACAACACAATGGCGCAAAGTGTAGCCTGCGAAGCTCTGCGAGCAAGCTCTTCAGGACGTTCTCTCTCATTCCTCTCTTTCCTCACCCCACCCCTGTACTCCCGGAAGAGCTTGCTCACAGGTTACACAAAGTGAAAATCGGAAAAAAAATTGATTGGTTCTCGGCATTCTTCGTAACGTGCACGACTGGAGCAGGGCGTGATGGGAAGGGAAACTCGCTTTACTTTTTCCCATCACACCTTCCGTGCCACCGGGGAGAGGTTTAAAATTCCTCACTTCATAAACAAGCTTTTGGCGCAATAATTAATGGGGTCGATAGGGTGGACAGGCGTTAGTTATAATTGGTCGAAGGTATTCAAGGCAACCATTCCTCTTTTATTTCCTGGAGTATGGAATGACGAGAGACGACTGTGGAGGGGTCAGGGACAACAGTAATGTATAAATAACAACAGTAGTAAAAACAGCCACTACTGTAACAAAAAAGCTAAAAAAAGACTGAGTTTTTTGCCATAAAAAGTCACAAAGTCTACTTCAAATCAACAACGTGCAATGACTCAATCTCAGCGACTGATGAGATGTCTTTAAAATTCTAAAAGTAAAATGTTTTCTTGTGGTCAATCAAGGGCCGAGTGTTTTTGTTTCGCGCTGTGGAAAAAGTCGTTTGACGCGTCAACTAAACGCACACCAGAACCTAAGAGGTGTATTCACACGGAAATCGGCCGGCGCAACTTTAAGGTGAAAAATCAATTCAACCCAAGCAATGTTGCAGATGCTGAAATTATGTATAGTTTTGCATCTTCCCAGCTTTCATTGACAGCGTTCACACTGGTTCACGCCAAATCAGATCCTGTATGGCGGAAGCTGACTACCACGTACTCATCCACACCGACAAGTGTAGGAAATAACTCAGTGAAAACGATACTTCCGCGCGGGTTTTAAATTTACGTACGTTTTCTTCATTTCTTCATTTTCCTGTTGTTTCACCCAAGAAAATCGCTCTCCTTTTGTGCTCACAACTTGACTGTCACGATATCGGACCAGTTTTTTTTTATCCTGCGAGAAAATAAACAGAGAAATACATAAATAAACAACGAAACAATAAAGAAATGTTGAACCTATACTTATTTAAGGCCCATGTCAAACGTCGAACATATCATGAAATACACAGAATGCTAATTAGCAAAATCCATTGTTCGGGTTCATAAGCATAAGCTACCTGCAAGAGAAAATCTCTTGCTGCTTGCTAACTCTTGTATTCCTAATTTTCGAATCTTCCATCCCACACTCTCTTTACGTCTCGCCCCCATTTTTTTTCATAAATGGTTGTTTTCAAATGCGCTGGGAAATATGAAGGCCTCCTATAAAGTATTTGAAAACGAAAGGTTGTATGTAAAATTTGGCGGAGTGTACTGTGGGGTATTCGAAAAAAGGCAATGAAACAGTGGCGGTAACTTGCCATACGGCCTACGAGTCCTTTAAGTTACACTGACACGACCTTTAAAAATGGCGTTACAAATCTGTTGCACCATGAATTTTGGACCACTTAGACAATAGTAATAACGCAATACTAGATATCGCACATTTATTCTAATTCCAGAATTTAGTCAATCGAAAACACTCACGGTGGAGACCTAGCAACTCCCTTGGAAAGTGAAATGCTTGAGGGGCCACGCCCAAGTTCAGAAAGATAGGGAAAATGTCGCTGTCTTGTGTTTACGTCCTCAATAAAACGTCGCATAAAGAAATTTCACGTCGTAGTCGTGTGTAGTAACGGCGCGTCGAAGAAATGTGGCGAAATTAATAGTGTGAATGTACGCGGAAATTTCACAACCACCTTGTTTTCTCGCTTTCTATAAACTTTTGTCCGTTTCGATAGTTTTTTTTACAGGGTAAAATCATCTTGGGAAAGCGCGGTCACACACAAAAAATATTATGCTTAGTTCTCCTTAGTTTTATATCTTCGTAACTCTACACAGGGGCATTTTGTGTTGGTGAAAAAAGCCACTGAAGTAATGACTTCAGCACAGGATTAGCCTGCGTAGCTGGCGGTATTGTGTAGTAGTCGAGTGAGATTTGGCGGCGGAGCCGTTGTAATATAGTCGAGTGAGACTTGACGGCGGAGCCGTCACGAGCGGCGAAGCCGCGAGAAATACCTTGTATTTCAACCGCCTCGTCCCTACTCCTTTTTTTGGAACACGGCTCCGCCGCCAAAACTTTAATCTCGCACCCACACAATACCGCCAGCTACGCAGGCTAGCACAGGATTCACCTCAAACCTCAATATCCCCGTGACATGGTACCATGTTACCTCGCCTCTAAACCTTCTCGCTACCAAGAATAGAACTTTGCTTTATTGTTTTAAAAAGTCCCAAGTATGCACAACAAATGGAAAGAACTTTCATGAATGGAAATTTCTCTTAACCGTTACTTTATTATCATAATTCAAAGAAATTGCAGGTGGTTGTGAAACTTTTCTGCCAGTTTTTTTATTTTTTTTTTTATCGCTCAAAAGTCAACTGATTTTACATTCACGGAATCTAATATCAGGATCGTCAATTAGGATGGACAAATGTGTAGTTCGACTTTAAATTTTAATAAGCTTGACGAAAAAGTAAAAATCCTTCGTAAGTAATCCCCGATATTAAACTACCTATGTCAATTATTCCAGAGTTATTCGTTTGTTATCATTATTAGTCGACGGCTTGGTAGCAATTTCGTTGGTGGCGAGATGACCGTAAACCCGTGTCATAGCTCCTTCAAGAGTTTTATAAGAAGTTCGTGGAGTCTGAATTATTAACACCTGGGTCCCGTTTCTCGAAAGTCCCGGTAACTTTTCGGGCCCCAAATCAAATATTCAGATCGAAATATAAAGAATAAGAGCGCGGGTCCTGG